GGGGTAAATGTTTGTTCGTAGGGTACAGGGGGTAAATGTTTGTTCGTAGGGTACAGGGGGTAAATGTCTGTTCGTAGGGAACAGGGGGTAAATGTCTGCTCGTAGGGTAAAGGGTGTAAATGTCTGCTCGTACGTACAGGGTGTCAGTTTCTAAAAAAAAACACATTTTAAAAATCTTTGGAGCAACGTTGATGTATCGCCGAAAATCGTTTGAAATTCTGATCATTTTCCAACGGTAAGGCGATTTTTTCTTTGCCTAAAGCCATTGCATGCAAATTGCTTTAAGTACGTGACATTGTACTGGCTACAACTGTTTTAGGGTCAGGCAAATGTTTTCATTCCCTACCGTAATAGTTGTCAGAATTATGAGCGTTCAGAATGTATTCTTATAAAATAAAGGTCGAATAGTACAATTTCTGTGTTCATCTGTGGATCCATATATAGACCACTATTCCCCTTCATGAATATTGACCACATATTTTAGCTTGTCAAATGCATGGTAGCAATATAACCAAGGAAACAATGGAAGTGAGCTCGGTTGTCAATCAAGCATTGGTCTTTCATTACTTTTGAGTCCGTTTACTTGTAATTAAAACTTGACAGTATCTGTCATATGTTGATCACGGAAAGTCCCATCTGAACGTTTCAGGTGATGTCAATCGTTCAATTTCTGATTGACATGGATAAAAAATAGAATAACTAATTATATTGCATTGTTTTCAACAGATAGAACTGATCTCGGCAGGTTGTGGGCTCAAATTCAATGTCGTGAAATAAACTGTTAAATGTCTTTGGCTGAAAACCTTTTCTCTGAACCAAATACCTTAAAACGTATTGACTTTTACTTCGTTTATACGAGCGTATAGTTTATACGGTCGCTTTATGGAGGTCTAGATTTGGTTTTGAAAAATATCAATAGAAGTATTTGATCCCAAAATAGAATCAATGTGCTGATGTTGTGGTCCGATGTTGTGACCGCTGAAGCCCATCCCTCGACATTCCTACCAACTCGCCCCCATACGAACGACTTCCTTCCCGTAATTAAACACTAGAAAAATAAAAAAATGTAGCTGAAATCGATATGTATCACAACAATAATAATAATTATTATTATTAAATTTACTTTTTAAGGAAAGAAAGGTTCAAATTCAAAACCATCAATCTCAGAAGTTACATGGGCATCTTTAGGCATCATTACTGGGGTATGTCATAAAGGTCGATCTTCTCTCGATTAATGTTTGTGAGACGTAAAAGAAATAAAAGCAAAAAATAAAAAATAATAATAATAATAAATAATAATAATAATAAATAAATAAATAATATAAATTAATTAATCTCTCAGGTATATGCTATGACTGCTACCGACTGCTACCTTGCTGAGAGAGGATCAATATTTTGCAGTGTTTTAGGGTCAACGAGAGCAGTACTTGCTGAGTATGAGTTGGCTTGTCGCCATTTCGCCACTAATTGTTTTATCTCTCGCAATTGCTGCTCTACTCACCGATATGGTACAATTAGTATGTTTATAAAACGGCCGTTTGTCATAATGAAAACACCTTAAATTGAAGAGCAAAATAACTATTAACTGTGGCTACATTTTTTCATAACATCGGAAGGAGACAACGATGAAAAGTTTTACTCATGTCAGCCACGATGATGACATCTGCGGAACCGGTTCTGAAAAGGACTGACTAAAGTTTGAAAAACAGTCAGTTATCTTCGTCGGTGATTCTAATGAAACAGCTGTTGGTAAAATGATAAACCGTACAGCCTGCAAAGACGACTTACGTAAAACGGAGTGTTAAAATCTGTCGGGATCAGTTTCCATATCTTTTTTTCGTATAAAATTTAACATTTTACATTTTATAAGATTGCTAAAAAATATTTTAATCTAAAGAAGTCCAATAAATTCTATGCAAACAAGTAATTTCCCGTGTTATAAAAACCGGTTTATCCGGTTTGATAAATTAGCAAAGCGGAAAAATTATGTAGGCAAGAGTCAAGGTTGATGACCTCACGTCATACTGACTGATATCGAATTCGCACATCACCACAGGTAGCCCATCCATCCAGGGCGCAACAAGTGTCAACAGTTCTCTTCGCTCAAATCTCGAGCGTATAGCAATGGTTTGGAGACACAATGACATTAAGTTATGTTTACTAGATTAGAGATACTTTTCCAGACAATGAACCTCGATATTTTGATATTGCGTGAATTAGTCCTGGGTGTCTTTGTATACGGAATCTCGAGGCTTTCAACGATCCTGGGGAATTTTTCTTCATTCGTTAAATAAATAGGCTTGCAATTGAAGTTTTCGCGTACTTTTATGGGATATTCCGAGCTTATCCCACATACTTCTTCGGTACCTCATTTGTAGTGGAAAATTCTGAAAAATACTTGGGTTTCCTGTGGTAATTATACGCGTGGCACACTGGAACCCAAGTCTAGAAATCAAGATGGCGGCTACATCGTGTTTGATAAAAAGATTGGTGAAACCTATTTCTGGGGTTTCCAGTTATGGAAAATGTGGGATGATTTCGTTTATAACATCAAAGAACTCTCTCTCTTTGAACAGATGTGCTTCGTCTTTTTCTTTTGTTCCGGAGAAAGCAGATCCCGCTCTTGGTAAGAAATGTTCGAAGAGTTTCCACTTAATTAATGTGTTCGCATGAAGTATATTTTTAAACTAATGTGATTCATTCATCAATTTGAACCAAATCTTATATTATGTAACATTAAAGCAGTGGTTTTCTTTTTTAGCCAGCAAATCTATTGGTTTATTTAGTAGCATTAATATTAATGAAAGTAATCTTAAAATCATATTCAATCATAGCGAATAATGCAATTTAACTTCTAAGAAGATTATAAAAAGTGATATTTAAACAGATTCTATTTTTCTCTGTGCGTCTGTACTCGAGCAGATACACAGAAGACGGGTGGTACGTCGAGTAGCGTGACTGTTCTTCTTGTCACATTCCTTCTTTGTATTTTTTGTATCTGTTAATTAGAGTTCAGATGTAAGGAAAAATGGAACCTATTTGGTTTCGATTTGTTATTATTAATGATTATCTCTACTTTGTATATGCATACTTTCATTGAACTACTTGAGCAAATAGACAAAATGTGTTTTCAGTGGTTCTTTCCAATCAGCGCGCTTGACAGATTTAATATCATTAATGTAAACTTGTGTATTAATAATATATCRTTCTTAACCAATCCAAGAGCATGTAATATCACAAATATTAATACATTTGAATATTATGATGGCAATATTCTGATTTTAATAGGGGAGACCAAAAAAATCAACTTATTTCAAGCATTAACTGATGCCATGGATATTGCACTTAAATCAGACCCAAGTACAGGTACACCTTACATTGTCATTTATTTTGTGTTTTCTTATTTCTTTTATATTTGGTCCAAGAAAATATCAGCACATTTTAAGTTTATCTTAAGCTCATTTCCACTAGAATGATGAGCAAAGATGAGCAAAAATCACAATGAAAGATATAGTTTCTTGAAGACTTCTTGTTACAGCAACATCTTGAAAAAGTAGCTGCGCCTTTGTGTCAAGTTAGATATTGGTAAAAAAATAATGCTATAATTGCAACTTTAATAGRAAAGGGCTGCAACTTTTCAAAATGTTGTTGGAAACTGTAAAAATGAGAATTATTATCATTTTAAAATTAACCACAAATTGTAACTGAAATTGTATAAAAGGATTTTCTTGTGTTATCAGTGATCTTTGGTGAGGATGTTGCCTTTGGTGGTGTGTTTAGATGTACTGTTGGTCTCAGGGAAAAACATGGTAAGTGCAGGAATACCAGCTGACACAGGAAGCCCAGACTGGCTTGGTATATGATCTCAGTATCGTGATTATAACAGTCTTGTGCAAATGTGTCATTCTGAATTGTGAGAAGGAAATAAAGAAAGACAGAATAGTTGACTTGTTTCTCTCTATTGAAGTTATCTATTTTATTATCATTAATTGTTGTGATTTTTATACTGTATTTTTTGTTTGAAATGACAATTTACACCGTCTTTATTATGTGTTTGTTAACTGTATTGTGAAGATATTTTTTTATGGTTTCAGGAAAGGACAGAGTATTCAATACACCACTAAGCGAGCAAGGTATTGTAGGCTTTGGTATTGGATTGGCTTCTGCTGGAGCCACAGCAGTAGCTGAGATTCAGTTTGCTGACTACATTTTGCCTGCTTTTGATCAGGTATGTTACATAATACACGTAATAATATCACAGCTTGGAATATTTAATGTTATAAATATTAACAATTTAGTTTTTTTGTGACTAAAATTGTCCCATAATAAGACTACATTCAAATAAAATACTCACTGTAACTTACAATTTATTAAACCTTGATGATCCACAGCTTTTTTTTGTTGATTATTCTGACTCAATTTCTCTGTTCCCATGTTTTTTTCATTAATATTCATGATTTACAACTTTGGAAACTGAACTACTCAAGAATTTATTGATCCCTTCTAGCACGACCATTTAGAATAAATATTTTTAAATTGATTCATGTTTTTACAAAGCATTCCAAATGAATGACAAATATATCCTAGTAGAACCTATAAAATCCTGACACAATCCTAATCTGGATCTTGTCATGATCCTGTGTAAGATCCTATTCAAGATCCTGATCTGTAGCTGATCCTACAGGATCCTGTTTAGGATCCTATTCCTACTAAGAATCTTACACAAGAATATGATCCTGTGCAAGATCCTATTCCTATGCAGGATCCTGCTTGGTATCGTAGTTAGGATCCTGTTCCTACATAGGAAATACAATCCCATTCCTAAATAAGATCTTACAGAATCTTATAGGATCCTGTCTAGGATTTGCACCAGGGTATATAACTGCAGTACCAGGGTATATAACTGCAGTATATACACTGTGTACTTATGTTTATGGTTTATTCAATTCAGTGTTCATATTTCCTTTTAATTTGCTCATTATTTACAAATTTGACTATCTGGACTTAAGATTATCTGGACATTTTAGTCCAGGCCCAATGAGTGCAGATGATTGAGGCTTGATTCAGTGCACTAACATATATCATTTGTTTCATCCCTAGTTGATCAATGAGGCTGCTAAATTTAGGTATCGTTCTGGTAACTTATTTGATTGTGGAGGTTTAACTGTTCGGGCTCCCTGTGGTGCAGTGGGGCATGGTGCCGTCTATCATTCCCAGTCTAATGAGAGCTTTTTTGCTCATGTTCCTGGACTAAAAGTAAGTAGTGTGTACAATAAAGGAGTTTACACTAGTCGTTGCTTCATCAGGACAACATTACTAATAGGTGATGGGGAAAGAGATACGTTTTTTGCAATATTTGGTTGCTCAGTTTAACATTCCAAACCAAACTCTTTCTGTAGATGGATAATCCACTGTTCAATGTTTTGTGGCTTTTTTTTTTTCAATGATCAAATTGAGCTATTTTCATTGAGTGGTATCACAAATTAACTGCCTCTGTCCTTCTAATAATCAATGTTTACATGTGGCTTTATTGGCTCAAGAACGCCACAGTACATGGAATAGAGGTTTCTCCATCAACTATAAAAGTTTGGTCCTGCAACTTTACCTCAGAATGAAAATATAGCAAAAAAAAGTATCTCTTTCCCTTTCACTTCTTTGTAATCTTGTCCTGATTACCCATCGTTCATTGACTGTTGTAAACTCCTCTAGTATAGGTGGGCGTACGATGATGTAGTTTGTTTACATCCAAAATATAAAATTCAAAAGATAAGCAATCTGAACTCATATAATTCAAGATTATATTAATGTCAACAAAACCTGAAAATTTTAGGGCAAACGCCTTTTTACATTTCGAGCAATCTCGTACCCAGCGCCACTGATTCGCTCTCTGATTGGCTCATAAAATAAACAGCTTGCCGCCGGAAGTGAAANGGTGCATTGGTGAAAATGGAATGGGATTATGGTGCATTGGTGAAAATGGAATGGGATTATGGTGCATTGGTGAAAATGGAATGGGATTATGGTGCATTGGTGAAAATGGAATGGGATTATGGTGCATTGGTGAAAATGGAATGGGATTATGGTGCATTGGTGAAAATGGAATGGGATTATGGTGCATTGGTGAAAATGGAATGGGATTATGGTGCATTGGTGAAAATGGAATGGGATTATGGTGCATTGGTGAAAATGGAATGGGATTATGGTGCATTGGTGAAAATGGAATGGGATTATGGTGCATTGGTGAAAATGGAATGGGATTATGGTGCATTGGTGAAAATGGAATGGGATTATGGTGCATTAGTAATCAGTAGAGTTTTAGCTCTTTCAAACAAGTATATTTAACAAATTGTACATGATTTTGAGTTCTATGTCCTCTTGACATCATTAAAATGTTCAAACCTCAATGGAACTCACTGTTTTGAATATTTTATGAGGCCAAGAGTGTGTCAGTAAGAGGACTTACAACTCAAAACCAGGCACAGTTGTTTTTCTTCCACATTTTGTAGTCCAAAAATTATTTCAACTGAGTTCATGTGCAAGGCATGATGGTTTTAGCACATGTACACAAAAGTCTAGTAAAATCTATGTTATCATTCGTACAAATGGTTGTTTTTCATCATTGTTTGGTGTCACTAGGTTGTTATTCCTCGTAGTCCTATCAAAGCCAAAGGTCTTTTATTAGCATCAATCAGGGATCCCAATCCTGTGATATTCTTTGAGCCTAAAATTCTCTACAGACAGTCAGGTGAGTACTGTAGCAAGTTGGACTGATTACTTTAAAGATTACTTGGTTGATTTATTGATTGATTAATAATAATAATAATGATATATAAAGCTTCTATAACCCTTATATAGCTTTCTCTAAGCGCTTTAAAAGATAAAAATTAAAATAGTTATTTATCATAGTTATCTATTTTAGTTGATAAATTGTTTGGTTAGTTCCTTGATTGGTTGGTTGGTTGATTGGTTGGTTGGTTGATTGGTTGGTTGATTGGTTGATTGATTGATTTATTGGTTGGTTGGTTGATTGGTTGGTTGGTTGGTTGGTTGGTTGATTGGTTGCTTGATTGATTGGTTGATTGGTTGGTTGATTGATTGATTGAATGATGGTTTGATTGGTTGATTGATTGACTGATTTGTCAGTTATTGGTTTCTAGCCCATACTACATCAATCCTGAGCCATAGGATAATAATAACCTTGCCCCTTCCATAGATTTTATCCATTTAATAGCACTATTCACACTTTATACAACATTACCAGCAACTATTTTAATCAATGAAATGTTTTTTGATAGTTGAGGAAGTTCCTGTGTGTGACTATGTATTACCATTGTCTGAAGCTGAAGTGATACTAAAAGGTAAATAATAATGAAAATATTTACACAAGAACCTGATAGATAAGTGATCAATTTTTTTATGTCTGGCATTATCTACAGTAAATGGAGCTTGTGTTATGAAGCAGATGCTGCAATCATCTGTACCATGACCATGATGGATTCTTGAATCATTGTTTTCATTTTGCTGTGTCTTGTCTGTTCTGTTATTCGCTTTTTTAAACTCCTCTATCTGTAAGTTGTGACAGTACTTCAGCAGCGGACAAAACATCAGGCAAAGTATTAACACCAAAGAGATATCTTTTCCAGGTAGTGATGTGACATTGGTTGGCTGGGGAACTCAAGTACATGTTCTTCGTGAAGTGTGTAAGCTGGCACAAGACCAGCTTGGTGTCAGTTGTGAACTAATTGATTTACAAACTATTTTACCATGGGACAAGGAAACTGTCATAAAGGTACTCAACAAGTAATGAAATATTCAAGAAAATGCTTTTTTCCTGTGTGTTGTATGAATATGATGACTTTTCTTTGTTTTAGTCTGTACTAAAGACTGGTAGATTATTGGTTGCCCATGAGGCAACTCACACAGGAGGTTTTGGAGGTGAAATTGTAAGCACTGTGCAGGTAAAACTAACTATAATACTGGTAATCAGTGATGCCTTGGGGTTATTCATGATGACTTAAAATAAGTTAAAATTATTAACTTAAAGATTCAAATCAAGATTAAATTGCCAATTTTTATAATGAAACTTAAATCTGTGATTTGTGACAGCCTGTTTAACTTTCCACCTTGGTGTTGACTCACCAATGAATTTCCTTGTTTCATTTAATGTCCAGTCCAAGGCTGTAATACTACTAGATTCAAAATTCAAATCAAATAATTAAATGAGTATGAAATCATGATTTAGAGATGGAGCACATATTTAACACACACTATTTGAAGTAAGAAACTTTTTGACCAGGTGAAACCTACAGCAATACAGTAAACACCCGAAAATAAGAATCTAATGGATTAAGAACCTCTTGGCAGAAATTTGACATTTTAATAACTCCTTCAATAAGAACATCTTTAGCCAAATATTATCAAGCAGGTTCTTATAATACGGGTTAGAGCTAAATTACAGGATAAACAAACCACAAGTTACTCAATTTGAAGATTGCCTACAAATATTGTACTGAATGTGTTTACAGTTGTTGAGTTGATTATGTTACAGTAGTTGAAAGTTACAGTTATACATAATATTATAGTATTTTATATAATTTTAGCCCATATCAAGCTTATTTTTTATTCTTATGATATATATGCAAAACTATAAAAACTGTATCTCCCTATTAGAAATTAAGAACCTAATCAAGAACCTGTTTTGCCAAAATTACCAAAAACTGACCCTTAAAACAAGAACCTTTTTTGCCAGACTTTCAAACAACAAGGTTCCTATTTTCAGGTGTTTACTGTATTAGCATACTTACTACAGGCCAACTATTTTATTCAGAAATCTGTATCACAATTAAAGGTTAGACTGTGTACTTACATTAAGTATATTGTATTTTTCAGGAAAACTGTTTCTTATCGCTTGAGGCACCCATCATGCGCGTGTGTGGATGGGACACTCCTTTCCCACATATTTTTGAACCATTCTATCTGCCTGATAAATGGAGATGCTTTGAGGCAATCAAGAAAATGATGGAATACTAAATGTGAAGAATATTGAATTATCATCCACATCAATGAACAGTTTGGAATAGTCTTTCTAGGAATGTTCTTTTTTGGCAATTAATGATTCTAGATAAAAAAAAGCCTAGAATTCTATATGACACTTCATGTACATAATCCTTTTTCAGCAGATAAAATTCATATAAAGTCTGTACAATCATGTCTCCTCTTGCAGCCCATTGTGAGGCCTGATAGGGGCTAGAGACCCGCGGAATGAGTCTCATAACAGCTACAAGAGAAAACTACTCTCTCAACTCCACACTGCTGTCAGAGGTTATTTGTACAAGAATAAGATCCATCTTGAAAGGTAGCCAAGCCTTTGCATCAAAGCAAGACACCTTAAGATACCTTAATTTGTTGACACCTAAAATAATTATTCACAGGTATCTATAATCATTGCAAGTTCAACTGCTGTCTCGCTTTGATGTGATGGAAACTGTGAAAAGTATTGTCAAGTTGTAATGCACATGCATAACCACCCAATACTCCGATTTCGATTTCTTGTTTGCTCTGTGCCTCAAAACCAAGCAACATATTCTTTTGTTTCATTGATAGCCCGAGAAAACGCATGGAATTTGAAAAGAAAGACAATAGAATTGATTTAAAATCTCACACTTTTATTCTCACAATTAGGAATATTTGCGCGCAAATGAGGCTAACACAGAGCATTGGAGAATTCGAAACTGGATTATTCAGACAGTACTTCTAGCAATAGCTGTGAAATATAAGAAAGTAGAAACTGACTCACAACTGGTTTGCTAATTACATCTATAAAGTGTAAAAATGTCTCATCAATTAGCTGACACTTGATCAAACAATGATCTGCAATAATTTTTAATAATGTACCAGTGACTTTCTAGTGTGCTATACACTAATTTTTGTAACGAGGTATTTAAAATTTGGTAATGTAGAATGACTGTGGAAAATATTTGTCATATTTAATGTATTTTTAGCATACAATTGACATATTGATGCTGTTGTTGTGTCCAACTCAAAACCTTAAGTTTATTTTAAAAT